GGTCTCAAATAGTGATCTTGATCATAAAACATGATATGGCATAAATATGAGAATGCACTAAAACCTCATGAAGGGCGACAAGTAAAAATCTAACAAAGAGATGATATGATGACGCAAGAAAGGATCACAACTTGAAAACAGAATGGAACAATTCGAATTGAATTTGCTCAATCAATCCAGTCGAGATTTCTAACGAAACAAACTCAGCAGAAGAGAATGTCTGCCTCATAATGAAACAACGAACAATAGAAAACGACCGGAACAACGATAGAATGAAAAGAAAAGAAGGAGAAAATTATGGATGATACTGGAATAAAGTCCGCATAAGATAGTTTGTCTTCCTTTTACTAAATGTTTTTCTTGTGTTCATCGTGGGATGTTGTACAATGGCTGTTCATAAGGCATGTGAGGTGAGTATTAAACAGTTTTAGTTCGATTCCATTTTATCATAATAAGCAGATATAGAGCTAATTTTTGATAGTAATAATCTCTGATTTGTCGGATTTACATTAAGCATTATCTTTGCAATATTGANTTATTGGAGAGTAAGGATTGCAATTGATATTTTTGAAGACTGATGCTTGGTACTTGTCTCTTTAGTATTATGGTGTTCTGCAGAATTGCACTGGTGTAAATTTATGCATTCGTTTTTATTATTAATGCTGTTAGAATTCTGCTCCAGATATGTCTTGTGAGTTGCGATCACCATGTTGATTTTACCAGTTACAATGATAGCAGTTTCTGTGTTAACATTGTGATCAATATAACGTGTGCATTGCTATTCTCGCAACCCCATCTCACTAATATTTTTTATTGCTCATCGCTTATTTATTGTTGGAATCATCATATAATTCTTTGTACGCAGTTTTCATAGGTTTTGTTTACAGTCAAGAGTTGTCACTAATCGTGATGTTGTTCTCATCTCCTTTCGTCGTTTTCGTCAGCAGACCGTCCACTCATGATTATTTCAGCAAAATCTGAAACAACTCTGCTTGATTACGCTAAAACTTAACTAAAATTTAATAATTTCGAAATATTATCTGTTGTAATTCATAATATTTTCATAATATTAATTTCAGGAATTTATTACTTCAAGTATTATCTGCAGCCGTTCAACGAATCAATGTCATATTTCAGCAAAAAAAAAAANGTCGGCTTCATTGAGCATTTGAACAGCTTCTTGTTGGGTGATACTACGACCATGATGTGCCATCAACGACTGGAGATCGTCAACTGAGATGTAACCATCGCCATCTTTATCGAATTCCTTGAAAGCACCGTATTACCGGATCGATTCGAACCAAGTTTATTGTTTGTTTTCTTTTTTCGTTTGCACTTGTCAGTGGTCTTACCCTAAACACCCTGCGTAGTTCATGCTCACTAGCCTCTCGATCGCGTGCCTTTCGAGCCATCAACCGAATGAACTCGTCCATTTCGATGGTACCATTGCCTGAAATTGTCGTGTCTTATGAGCTAGCAACCATAACTTACGGTGTCTTTTTTGATGTGACCGTTGCTCATTTCTTGTAGAATTCCACTTAAGGAGAATATTTATCTGAAGGCAACTTTTTGATAATGTGTTTGCTGCTCAAATTCTCTACTGTACTGGAAGTGATACATCTGCAATGTTCGAGACTTTGCTTGCTGATAATTTGACGATAGCGATATTGCCTTGCACTTATGCAGTTAACTGTAAATCTGTCTCATTATAATAACTTTATCGGATGCATTCTATCAGTTAGGAACCTTATTCATTCCTTTTTTTGTATTCTTAATAGGAAAGAGCGACTCGTACTGCAACCATGAAACAGCGATTCCCCTAGAGATTCCGCTAGCGATTCCCACTAGGGATTTTCAGTAGAATTCCTACTAGTGATTCTTACTAGACCGAGCGGTTCCTACCTAAACGCCTTAGGTTTTATCATTTTGAAAATCGAAAAACCTTCAGCTGGAAGGTTCACCCAATTGCTGAATTGCTCATTTCTTCGATGCAAAAATTGCCGAAAAATACCACCTGAAAGGTGTCGAATAACGGAATGATGTTGAAGAGATTAAGTAGTGACGAACCGTCTTCGTCAAATTCCGATATCATGCGTTTCAGTTCATTCTCGGCCGGATGTTCGCCCAGAGAGAGCATCACTTCACCCAATTCATCGACCGTTATGCGACCATCTCCGTCTCGATCGAACACACTGAATGCATCACGGATTTGCGTCAAACGGCTATTTTCCAGCTGTTCAAATGTTGATGATCGCTTGGTGCCGTCCATCTTATTTCTTGGCTCTACGACGAGAATACTCGACACTCGGTTGATGCACTCTTACCTGGATTATAATGATACGTTTCAATGCAATTGCTCACTAATTATCTCATAGTCTTGATGAGCTTAGGACTGTTAAAGAGATCAGACACCGTGTTATGATTATGTTATGATCGTATCGATAACATTAGTCGTACTCATTGCGTGATTATATAGAACGGCATATTTTTGAAGCCAGACCAGTTGTTTGCTGCTTTTGCATTTCATATTTTATGTTTCATATGGGAGCCATCACTAACATACGAATAATAAAAGACAATAAAATTCAATGTGATAATAAAGATATAGATATTGATATATTGAGGAAACTGCAAACTGGGTAGAGGATTAAGGATCAAATCAATAACGACTTTCTGCGACTCATAATAATTGCTTTGAGGAAATTCTGAGCTTAATATTTAGTGATAGAGTGCAACTGTTATACATCAAGGTTTATATGAAAGTTGACATGAAACATTTTTTTCTTTTATTCTTGCAATCAATTTTATTTTATTTGTGCATTATTTATTTGCTTATTTATGATTCATTTAATCCTAATGCCATTTCATTCATGTGCAATTTGCGTTGCACTTTATTTTAACTGAATGGTCACTGAACCATAAATGTTCATGCAATTTCATCATTCATATTATCTGTGAATGATAGCAGTGAGCAATAATTCGAATAATTAGTGTAACTAACAAGAGAACTGATAATAAATCTAATTGATCATCAAATGAACTATGATAAGAGCACGGAATTTGACGGTGCTTATTTGAATTGGCGGTGACAGGCAGTACTTGCATCTATAGTTAATCATTGAGGAATGTAGAAATTTTATGATGATGATGGTGAGAAATTGGTGAGTCTACGCATTCATAATTGATATCTACTCGAATTAAGATCAATTTCTGCTAGATGGCAGAAAATTTCACTGGATTATTCATTCAGAAATGAGAACGATGAAATTTGAATTGAAGTTGACGTAAATAGTACTGATAGCAATAATAGTAATAGTAATAATAATAGTAATAATAATAACAATAATAATAATGATAATAACAATAATAATAATAATGACAATAATAATAATAATAACAATACTGATAATAATAGCAATAAGAGTGCAAATTTTAGTGATAATATCGCAAAATTTAGTGATAATAGAGATCATGATAATCATAAATGCATGCGCATAAATACATATGCTATTTATAAAGATGGCCTGCAAGAACAGTCCCTAAAGAGCAAAAGCTTTCGAAAAGATCAACAATACTTTTGATAATGAAAGAATTTGAAGCGCAGTGTGGGCAATGATCGATGTTGTGTCTGAATATATTGCAACTTCATCGTCGAACCAAACTGGAATGGAATCGTTGTCGCTTGTTCTATCTCAAATTACTAATAGGCGTAATGAGATGCTATATTAAATTATCGTTAAGTTATTGAGTGAAACGTATAGAATGTAGAGAGGCAATATTATGGCGTGTAGTGAATATTGGTGAATATTTTCGAATTACTTATTTCATTGAATCTAATGAAATTTGATCAGTTGCTTGTGCCCTCTGAAATTAGTCGTTTGCCATTTCGTTGCAGAAGGAGTAAGGGTTGAAGATAAAGAATTTGTCTGTGGGCAGGGACGTTTATGCAGTCTGAAGTGAAAGGAATGGTTTCAATTAGAAAAATTCTCATGTTTACTCATTTTCATAGGTTTTTTTGCTTGCCATATCTTAACTATAGCCATTCATTTCGTTGTGAATCGTTTTTTAAAGTCGCATAAAATTAAGTGTGAATTTACTATATGCAAATCACATGCGAATTAGGCGATTTGTGAGAAGCGCGATGACTTTGTGCATTCTTTGTACTACGAACAAACTTAATTGCTTCTCCTTCTTCTCACATATTTTTTTTTAATTTGAAGTTAGCAAATTGAATTTTTGGTTCAGATGAACATTTCTCTGGAAGAAAAAAATCGCTTTATTGCGTAACGTTTTTGTTGAGAGCATTTCGTTGCGATTTTTATTGCTCAGTTGCTTGAGAGGTTCATCGAGCGATTGTTTCTGATTGTGTGTGTGTCTGGATTTCATTGAGACAGAATGAATTATTGAAGGGTATTGTTTGTTGGATGATGTGCTCTCTGAAGTTATTCGTTTAGATGAAATTTCGAGAAGTATCACCCAAAATGGATGCTTAAAAATGGTTGAAAATGGGCAAATTTTCCAAAATTCTGTTCAATTAGAGGAGTTTTTCGTTTTGAAGTGAGAGGACGCAGGGGATGTCTAATTGGCTCGAAAGTGCGACGTTGTTTTGGCTAGCATTGGGAAGAGTTTAGCAGCTATAGGATTGATGGAAGAAACAGATTAGATTGCTTTTGAGGAGTGCAGCTTAGACTGCTTTGGGATTGTAGGTTTCATTTTTAGAAACTGGCAAAAAGAGAAGCAACTAGGCTGTTTTTATTGCGTTAATTGGCTCGTTCATTGTTTCATATGTGCTCCTCTCGGTTCTATTTTTCGACTTGTGTGCAGATTTTTTTTTTCAATGTGTAATTTTAATGGTTCCAATGGGTTACCAATGAGATAGTAGTCGTTGGAATTAGTTGGTTCGCGCATAAAATTCGCCATTAGATAGCACATAAAAGAGCGAAAAGTAAAATTGAGTAGGCAAAATAAATGACCAAAAATGCGAATAAACAGTTATTTATGAGACAGCAGTTATTGTGACAGAGAATGCAATATGGATAGGCATTCAGTTAGTATGAAAGAAAAGTGTCCATATGCAATTGAGAGTTTGATTTGTAGTGATTTGGTTCTTTGTAGTGATTTGGTTTTTTTTGTAGTGATTGAGGGTTTGATTTGTAGATTTTGTTTTGGTTGTTGTTGTTTCAATTGTTGTATTCGATTTGTTTTATGTATTTTCATTTTCTCATTCATATATTTCGCAGTTTGGTGGTATCCATTCTATGCAGTCAATCGAATTTCATTCATTCATGTTATTTGTTTGTTTGTTCTTTTTCCTCTTAACAAATCGCCCTCTCTCTCTGTAGAATTGGAACGGGTCGGTCGGTATATGCTGCTGTCTTGCGTCGATGAAGTGAATTGAAGTTGTTTTTTCTTTTTTTTTGTTCTTGAACGTTTCATATTCCGAACAAAAGGATGATATTTCATGAGGCATTTTGTGGAATATAATGGCTTTTTCACTGAAAATTTTGGAGAATTCGCGTAATTGAGCAGTGTATTGCGCTGACACTATAGGAAATGAGACATTGTTTGCGAAGAAGACGTTTGAGCGATACTCTCGGTGAAATTGGATAGAACATGACAACTGGAATTATTAATGGCTGTGAGGTGAAAACTTAATGAATGAGTGATATTACACGAAGAGTTGAGAACAAATTGATGGCACACCATCGGGAATAGTTGCATTTCGATTGTTTCGCCTTTGAGGACATGTTCAAGCGATGAGTTTTCTTTAAGAGTACTAGGCCGCTCCGCTGTAATCTTTTAGATTGGCTTCAAATGATTAACTGAATGAATTTGCATTGGTGGCATAGACAGCTAGGTGGATTTTGTAAGGTAGAAACGGAACGGATCAGAGCATGAATCGCAAATGAATTGCGTGACCGGTGTAGTGACTCGCCGCACATGTCCTAAGTACATAAATCGCTTGTTAAAGTGAATGAATGAATGCGTTTGTGAGTGATCTGAGCACATGAACAAAATGCTTCCTTTTATTTATTGGCAATAATTTAATAAGTTCTTCAATAGAGTTGTAAAGCGTGAATGTTTATAGTGAAAGAGCGTAATTACCGTCAAGCAATACAATTACCTCAAAGCAAAGCAATTTAAGCAATGAGATGAAATCAAAAGCTTTTTGATGAGATTAGAGTAGGAAACAGATTGATAATTGTTTGCGGAATGAATAACGTCCGTATGGAGTTTGGAGTTGAAATGAGCGGATGTGATTCGCTAGATGAGACTTGGAATGTGCATAAATGCGTGAATCAAAAGACCATTTGTGAGAGATTTACTTTCTCTTGCAGATTTTTGAGCATCACCAAAGTGATGAATGTTTAACAATACATGAAAATGTTAATGTAGGATATAATATCGTAGTTTTAAGGATTAGAGTAATGGTGGTGCTCCATTATGCACTATTCAGTGACGGATCAAGAGAAAATATGCTTCAGCGAATAGTTCTAATAAATTATGATTAAGGATAAGATTCTGTCAAAGTAAAGTAATTGAATGTAATGTAATAGATAAAATATTGTAGAAATTGAAAATTAATTGAATGAAATGAATTGCGAAGATGATTCAAAGTTCCATGTTGATTCATAATGGTAACTCTAACCTGCAGTTGAAGAATCAAATGATGAATTTGGCTGTCATGTGATGCGCTTAGGTGGTGACGAACAGCTAGCTTTTATCCGTGCAGAGATTTCTGGGAACAATCATATGCGATCATGAATATATTGGATATGAACGGTGTTTTCCGAGCTGAGTGTTGTGATTGTTGAGCGAAGGTTGATTGAAACAATTGTTTTATTACATTTCCAAATGTAATAAAATAATTGCTTATTGGAGCACAGGCCGGAATCAGCCGGACACAGCAGCAATAGAGTTGAAATGGAATGAAGGAATGACGACTGATTGTGTGATGTAGTACATATGTTAGCGTAGAAAATGGCTCTATTCATTCAATTTAATATGAAATACGAACCGAACCATAAAGCTTGCAACAACAACACAAAGCTTTTTGCTGATATAATCATACTGATGTCGATGCTTCCTTCTCGCTTGACCAAGGCGGTCTGCTCTACGTAGTATTCTGCTCGATCCGCTTAGAGCGCTGTCAACTGCAACAAGTTTGATGGATGAGCAGTATGAAACAATAAGGTAATAACTGAATGCTTCTTTAAAATGCTGAATCTAGAGGAAATTCGTATGTTTCCGGGCAAACCTGAGCAGATGGTTAGCGCGAAGATCGCAAACCGCCTATTACTAATATGAACGTATTGATTGCTCTATAGTGATCAGTTTGCATGAATGAGCGCGACTGCGCTATTGAATTAAAGTGCTGCCAAACAGCTGATCTGACACAAATGATCAGCAAGATAGAGAATGGAAACAATTGAGGAGATATAAAATTGAAATCGGAATGTGATACTGGGGGAAGCAAGGGTTTTTCGGAATAATGCTTTACGAGCCTTGAATCGAATGAATTCGTCGTCAGTTTGTTAAAAATCTGTGCAAAATTGCATATTGAGGCAATAGAATCTTAACTTATTAACGTAACGAACAGAAATGGTCTTCCAGTTGAGCTTCGTAACATTGTTTTTGTTGATGTCAAATTTAGCGTTTGACTGCTGATTGTGAATGGTTTGCAATGTTTGATATGATGATTGCTGAGAACTGGAATGGAGATCCAGATAAATGATATTGATTATTCATATTGAGCAATGAGCTGTGAGTCTTTTATCAGCGCCTCTTGTCGTATCGTTTATCAGATCTATTTTATCATTCAAGTATCTTATTCATTCCTGTTCTTCCATTTATCATATGAACGAGCGATTCCTGCTGGATTCATTGAAAGTGCAAAGCTTCAGACTTCAACAATGGGAATCAGAAAACTTTCAATCGAAAGCTTCTCCTAATTGTGACTTCTTCATGTTTTCGGTGCGAAAACTGCCCAAAAATGTCAGAAAAATGCCAGATATTGCATGGACTCCTATTCGTTTC